TAGGGTTGCCACCTTTTCAGGCTTTACATAAAGTATTTCTCGACTAAAAGGTTCAAAAAAAAAGTACTCAGCATAAAAATAAAGTATTTTATTTTTTGTTTTTAAAAACATATTTTTTGTTACACCTAGCAGCCAGTAACAAATTGCTGTCGATCTTAAACATATTAATAGCCTCTAAACGTGGCAAAGAAAGATTTAAGTAAACTAAAAGTTCATTTTTAATTAGTTTTAATGAAGCTTTATTCCTGTCGTCCCGCCACTTTTGCGTTCATAACAGAGAATACTTTTTCTGTAAATGCTGAAGTGACCGGAACGGACAGCAAAAGTGACACTACTTTGAACAGATTTGGGAAATCACGTTGTTCCGTAAATATGGCTTGCCATTTTTCTGTGCAATACTATTGATGTAAAAATACTCTGAATTTCGAATAATCGCTTACAAAATTACGATGTTTACTTAAGGCCTTTACATAAAGTATTTTTGCGTACTTTATGTGTCTTGTAAAGTATAACGTACGCACAGTCGAAATAGAGTACAATACTTTATAATAAAGTACGGGTGACAACCCTACTTGGGACTGACGATCTTATGATGATTATGAAGAAAAGAGGCTTTCAAAACTATAACCAGAGTTTTTTTGAGAAGTTTATATCAGCCAGGAACTTCAAGACACGATTAAGGTAACATAAAATTATCCTACTTTAAGAAATAATAAGATTTACGTATGTAACAATTTATATAAAGAATGTTTACCTAATAAAGGACGATTCAGGACAATTCCATCTGTCCCACTTAAACTTATCCTGGCAGTGGTCCATTGCTACCTGGGCGCCCATTGCTACACTTTCCACTAAATTGGGGTTAAATCCTACCTACAAAAAACAAATATGTGCTTAATATTGTAATAAAAAATATAATTAAAATCCAGTAATCACAAAAGTTTTAAATGTTATGTATCAAGTATTAAGTACTTACAGAATAAGGAACCAAGTTTCTTGATAAAAAGATACCATTGATTGTGGAAGACCAAGCCGTAGACACTCCACAAACAGTTTCGATAATCACCACAAGAAACAAATAGCTCATTTTTCGGCAACCGATCGTTTGAAATTCGAAAATTGTACTAATGTAAAATTTATGAATGAAATTGGTTTTTATACCGAAATATAAGCCGAGAGGGTAAAACAGAAGGGGTGGTCTTTCGTAACGACATTATCCTTTTATGACGAGAGGCGCAAAGAAAGGGACAATTGCTTTATTGATACCTACTAATATCCACAGGTGAATGAAATAGCGACAAACACCGTCTTTAGAAGCCGCAGGGGATTGTTACATTTACCTGTTTGCAGACTACTTGTTTCTCCAGGGAGACTTCTGAGAATATTCATCGTCGCTGGGAAATTTTCTCGATTAGCCAATATAGTAGAACACAGCTTTTTTTCATTCATAATTATGATGAGATAATAGTGAATTAAATTTTTGCTGTCTGACATCACAAAGGAATTAAAAATATGTAAAAATGATTTTTCGCAAAATCAAATTTCCTGTTGTAATTTAATTAGTACAGTAGAAAAAAACTAATAAAGATATTAAGCATAATTAAAAGCATCAGCTTTAAAAAGAAATATTTGTATAACTTTTCGATTTGCTGCCCCCAAATTAGCACATAACTATGTAGTACGTATAATGAATAAACTTTAGGTAATGTCGAAAAAGTTGTAGGTAAAACAAAATAACAAAATATTATTAAATAATTACTGGGAATTACGATATTACATATATATTCAAATATTTGTATTGAACATTTTTATGAATACAAACTGTTCGGAGATCCTACATACATATGCAAATGAAACTGTACAATTTTTCTTTAAAAAATGTATTTGCAGTTTTTATTAAATACATTTTAAGGCAGTGTCTATAAAACAATCGATTATACTAAAGCATTAATTAAAGAGAAACGAACGCGTTATTCTTATAAATGTTTTCATGGAATTTTGAATGAAAATACTATTTGCAATAGTTTGTAGTTCTGTTAAAATTGTCACTAAAATGTGTTCAAAGATGTAAGGAAATTTTACTATCAATTCGTCAGTAAAATGTGCACAATTACTTGTCAATGTTACAGTTATTTTTTAAAAGGTACTTGATTTCTACATGTAACGTTATTTTAAACTAGATTAAAGTAAAAACCTATGAGTTTCCACAACTAACAATCTAAAGTTAACGCTTGTTGAATCAAAACTAAAACACGTAGTATCGAAAGCGTAAAAATTCCGTTAAACTAGACGCTTTATCTTCTTTCGTAAGGTAAACGCATGTTCCTTGTGTATAATTCTAAGTGTATCAGAGAGTTTGTCGTAACAGGATATAAAAATAAGTACAAAGTACTAACGGTATAACGTTGAATTATCCTGTATGTGTCACTAAAAGAACAAAATAAATCGATTCTTTTACTACATTGATTTCAACGCCAACAATTTCTTTTATTTCATACTTGATGTCTTTAAAACAGGTAATTACTGTTGGCGAAGACAAAACGTTTATTGATGCTCTACTTGTTTAGGTAATTTTCAGGTAAATGTAGTTGTTATTTTTTCTTTTCTTATGCTAATCAGAGAAAGCTCGTACCTAGATGAAAATCCACTACGTACTATCAAAACAGAGCTATTATAATGCTCATTACTGAAAAACACTGACAGAATAAAAATTAAAATAAAATATTTTAGTGGTAGATGTTGAAATATATAAAATAACTTATTAGTTTAGCCATTTAAATACTACTTCACAAATGTTACAATAATGTATATTTTAAGAAATAAATTTTACTTTACTGAGTATTAAGGACTAATTAAATAGAAAACCCTTAACTTTGGTGAAAAATTTAGCTTTCAACTATTATATTAGTCCTTTATCTTGTGAGAGACGGTTCCCAGCCATTTACCAATAGATATAACGAATTAAAGGTTCTAGTTTCAAAATAAGAATCAGAAACAAGGACTAACTGATCAGGAATGTTTCCTTCTCATATTATTTTTGTGGAACTCCACGAGTCTTTCTCAGTTTTAGGTAGTTTAAGGTCAAAGAATCAAAACGCGTTTTCAGTTTTTAAGCATATAGGTTTAAAACAGTGTTTCGTACAGATTAAATGAATCAAAAATAGATTCACCCTAATTACCACTACGGACATATTTCATACACTTCTAATGTCATTAATATTATCAATGCGAAGCCTGGAATTTGCTGATTTAAAGATGAATTGATTTTTTATTATTATTTTATTAAGTTTTTTACAGTTAATATTTCTAATTGACGCATTAAATGTTTGATTTATAATTATATTGGTTTAAATAAATAAATAGGTACAGTTCGTAAANTTATATTTGTATATTTATTTTACTAATTATAGATATGTCTATACTACATATTAAATATCATTCGTTAATGTGAATAAACCAATATGTAAGCAACTGTTTGTTTTGTTCACATTATCGAGTATCTACTGTATTAATTGCAGAAATGCATAATACTTAGTTAGCCCTAGTTATTGAACAAATGCACTTCATTTTGCATGCTTTTCATGCAATTTTGCTTTATTTAATTGCATGTTGTAGTTCTAAAAAAATATTAATTGAAGGGTATAATATGTTAGAGTTGTTGTTTTAGGCAAACATAGCAAAAACGCATGGAATAATGGCATCTGTGTATGGCTCACGAGTGGCAGACAACAATCTAACACTAGAACTGTCCCTTGATATAAACAGAAAATTGCAAGCCGTACTTGAAGATGCCTTACTTAAAAATATTACATTGAAGGTTTGTGTTTTCCCTTTTTAACTAATTGTAATGCTAATTTTTTTACGATTTTAGGAAAATGTTGATACACTTGGGGCCGAAATAGACAGACTTAATAAACTTAGACCATAATTTACATTTGTTTTCCTATTGATAAAAAATCAACTTGTGATAATGTTGAGTATTTACTTATAAAAGGGCATTTCTGTATGCAGAGCAAAACGTCTGCCGAATTCAATTTACAAAGTATTTTAAATATATATAGGAAGTCTTAAATATTTTTACCATTAGCTGAATCTCCTGAGCAGTTGTGTGAATGATTGTTGAAAAGTATTAATAATTGTACTGGTGGTTTGTACATCAAGTTTTAAGAAGTTGTTATTCATTTTAAAGGCTGATTTATATTTTCCTTGAAAAACTGTTACATTCGGATATTTTGGTACTTATTAACCTTTTGATTTATAATTATATTGGTTTAAATAAATAAATAGGTACAGTTCGTAAATATTGTAAAGACTATCTTTAGTTGTATTGTACAAAGGTCTTTAATGGTATAATAGGATTAGGCATGCAATAAACGAAAGATAGTCCGCAATGGAAAAACCTATACTAATGATATTCTAATTCAGTTGGAAGCATAATATTATACACTGCGGTTATAACTGTAGATAAGTTGGACTATATCTTGTATATTTTAAGACCCTTAGCGGGTGGTTTATATGATTGAAATGAGTAAATTGGATTACAGGGAACGTAAGATATAAAGACATCAATGGGTACTAAGTAGCCTAATGAATACGCCGTTGGAATTTTTATTAGGTATAGGATGGGTTAATATTCTTCTTATTTATATAAATACCACTTAATACTATAATATATGAATGGCACTCGTGCTGAAAGTCTTGTACAACTAATTAATGAAATAGAATAAAAGGCATACGACAATGTTAAACGTAGGTAATTATCTAATTATAAGAGTAATCTTGGTTGGATTCTCGTGAAACATTGCTCAAAATTAATTGTGAAAGAAGTTGTTTTTCAAAATTTTAACTTGTTAGAAGCTCTTGAAGAATACATATGTAATTATGTCGAAGCAAGAAGTAGGCGTTTCAAGAAAAAATAACAATAATAAAATAAAGCTGAAAATGCCTTATATCGAACAAAGTAGTATAAAGTACTTGAAAGAAGTAAAAAATATCGAAAAAAAAAAATTAGTTTGTCTCTATATTTCAACCATGAGTTATCCAGACATAGAAACAAAGAACATGTACTCCGAGAACAATCTTGTAGATCCCTTTTTTCAAACAATGGTGAATTTTCTATTTTTTTATATATTTAGTGGTAAAATCTAGTAAAGAAAACTGAAAAATTCAAATACTAAAAATGTTTTGTTCTAAGAAATACTAAAATTGCTTCAAATAGTTTTACTCATAAATCCATCGGAAGTAATATTTTTAGTTTAGTCTTACATATTCAGTCTTGGTTCGTTCGGTCTTGATTATAGTCTTGTTTTTTTTTATTCAGTCTTGGTTTAAGCCATGGTCTTGTTTGTTCGGTTTTGGTTTTAGCCTTGGTCTTGTTTGCTTGATTTTGGTTTTGGTTTGACTCTTAGTCTTGTTTGTTTGATTTTGGTTTTAGTCTTGGTCATGTTTGTTTGGTTTTGGTTTTAATCATGGTCTTGTTTTTTTGGTTTTGGTTTTAGACTTGTTCTTGTTTGTTTAGCATTGGCTCTAGTCTTGGTCTTGTTTGTTTGGTTTTGGTTTTCGTTTTAGTCTTGGTCTTGTTTGTTTGGTTTTGGTTTTAGTCTTGGTCTTGTTTGATTGGTTTTGGTTTTAGACTTTGTCATGTTTGTTTTAGTATTGGCTTTAGCCATGGTCTTGTTTGTTTTGTGTTGGTTTCAGTCTTGATCGTGTTTGTTTGGTTTTAGTCTTGGTCTTGTATGTTTGTTTTTGGTTTTAGTCTTGGTCTTGTTTGTTTGTTGTTGGTCTTGATTTTGCTAATATAAAAACAGTCTTGCTTATTATATAAGTTAGGATATGTAGGTATATGTTTAATTTTTCTAATTAAATATTCATTTAACCTGTTGTTGCTTGTTTAAACTGAAGACAGAAACAGAAAGCACAAGGTATTGTATTCTGTAGAACCACCTATAAAAATTCTTTCAGTCTTCAATAGTGCCCGTTACTTTTATGATTCTCTCTAATATAAGCTTTATGACAGTATTGTAAAGGTAATGCTAACGCAATAAATCACAATGGGAAAAATTTTAGCGCCGTTTGGTTTCAAAAGAATAAATTATCGTCGGGGATATGCCTGAAGAAAACACGTTTCGACAAAATTCACATTCAATAATAAAATATCGCCCCATGTGGTCTTACAAAACGGACTTCCCGTGCTAATTATTATGGCCGGTGCCCCCGAAAATTGAGGCGGTTTCTCTGCCATAAAAATAATGTTGCACACAAATAGGGTAGCGCTTTTCTGAGAAAGTTCGGTAAAAGAGACGTAGTGTTTCCGTTGAAAGCTTTTTGATTGTTTTATGAATTTTTTACCGGTCGCTACACACTCTGGTGTTAATTGGTACGCAAAAAAAGCGAATAATGGACACGTTGCTTTCATAATGCTTTCTGCTAATATTTGCTTGGATGAAACACATAATCGTAAGTCATATAATTTTTGTATTTGTTACATAGATATACTTGGTATAGAAATAACTTTATAAAATCTGTTTTTAAATTTTTAGTTTCTTTCGGAAAAACTGTTAATCCACTTGACTTTTTAAAGATTTTTCACTTATAATTATAATTTTATAATTTATTCACCACCACAAAATAATACAGAAAATAATAAAAATAAATCATACATTTATACAAAATTATAGCGAGATTCATGATTAAAATCATAAGAAAGTGAAGTAAGTTGCCAGCAAGGAGGCACTACAAATGCCCGTACACTGACGTGGTGTATTAAGAAACTTAAAATTGAAATTTGGTAGTAAATATGGTTATCAATTTAAATTATTATGGAGCGTATATATAAAAAAAAGAAAGGAATGTTAATTTGTTAATTTGAAATGTTATTTGTCTATAATTTTTTTACACCAATTTTTTAGTAATGTTTTATTTTTTTTCAATTTAACACCGTTTAATGTTTTAAGCGAATCTGGTAGAGCAGTAAATGTAGTAGTAGCTACATGTTTGTATCGGTATTTACCACTATTCAATTTGCAATTCGGTAATGAAATACTTTTGTTTCTAGTTATACTTTTACTGGTCAAATACTTTTCCTGTAATGAACTATATTTATAGGTTACACATTTAAATATGTAGTCTTGTTTTATTTTTAACGGTCTAATTTCAATTTTTACTTCTTCCAAATTTTTTTTAAAAATTATTTTAAGTATTCGCTTTTGTAAAGACTGTAGAGCTTCGTGCTGTCATTTAAAATAACATACCAGATATTATTTAACGATTCTGAATATCATTTATTAATCGTAAGAAATACAATATAAATAGATATATATACATTTAATAAATACAACTTATCAATAAATATTTCTAAAACTACGGTGATTATAACAACAAACAACTGTACAATCTTTAGTAAAAAAAATGTATTTACAATAACGACTTCATTTTCTTCTTCTTTTTCTGTCCCAACTGTTGACGTATGTCCCGTATTCGGGACCATCTCCAGCATGTCCATAATTAGCTTCTACAATCTGTTTTTGACTAGGGGTTAAGTCAATGTTGTGGCTGTACACTCCACCCTGATTATTTCGATTTCTAAACATATTTATCAACCCCAAAGTGATCGCGATTTTTCCTACCACAAACGCTTGTATCATTAGAAATTTTAAAGCTATAAGCATTTTCGGGACCATCATGGCAGACATGATAAAGGGCATTGCTAGGAATGGAAGAATTCTGGCAAACAAACTGTCTTGTTTCTTTTTCTTTCTTGGCTCCAAATCTGCAAAAATATGCAATTAAATTCATACTAGGGTCATTTGTGTTAATGTTTTAACAAATAAAATTTAATTAAGTAAATATAAGCAGCAGGTAGCAAGATGTATAGGGTTTCCAAATCTCGGGAAGTAGATACTAACTTTCAAATCCTGATATTACTTCGGAAAATACCCCGAAGTAGAGCCCAATATCTGGATTGGCCAATGATAGGGGATTTGAAAATGATTAGTTTTCCAAAATACACTAAATATTCTTGCTACTTTTGTTTATGGGACAGTTGAGTAGTCAAAGCACATTAGTAACACCAAGCATGGACCAAACCAACTGAGTTAAAGATAGGGAAACATAATGTCAAATGGGAACCAATTATAAAGCTCAAGAATGATGTTGCTTCTATTGCTAATAAATTTGGATATAACGAAAACAATTCGTTCAAAAGGTTCTTAATCAAGCTTTTTTTCGGTGTTTGAAGAATTTTTTAACAAATAAAGAAAATAAAAGCCAGTGACGAATTTGCTCAATTACTTAATATTGACGAAACACAAATCTGGAACAGCTTTGAATTAGTAGTTGTTGGATATATCGGAAAAAGCACAGCTGAGAATTATACAGCGTTGAGCGAAACTTTGGGCACCAAAATGTCCCTTAAAGTCATATTTTATGTTACATGCTCATTAGATGGATCAATTCAAAGATAATGTGGGCGCCTATTGAGAAGAACAAGTTGGAACGTTTCCATGAGATGGATTTCAACGATGCTACCTTGAGGGCAGTATAACTAGAACGTGACGAACTTGAATTTCCAAAAAAGTACAAAAAGTATTCATTTTTAAACTGTAGTTATCAATTATTCGACATTTATTATCTATACTTAGACCCAAATATTGTTGTAGGTAGTTTTCTTTAGAAGCAAACCGTATATGGTAAAAGTATATTTTTATATTAGTTACATTGAACGGTGTTCATTGTTATGTGGCAAAATTGCGGACTCAGGGATAGTTTATAACTTTGTTGTGCCAGATATTCTAAAAGTAACAATTTAATCTGCAAATTAGCAAAGAGATTAGAAGAACTCTTCGTGAGTAACAGCTGTATACTATAATATCTATGTTACTATAATTTTGAATTTCATTGACCCAGATGCCAGTTTTCCGATGGGTTTCCAGTAACGGATGAAAACACACATAAAAGTATGTTACTAATACGGTGCTAGTGACATAATTGAATATTTTATACGAATTCGGTATTTTTCCGTAAACATCGGAATCAGTAAAATTGGTGGGAAAGTTTAATAATAAATAAAATTGATTTGGAATTAAGATTTGTTATGGTCTGCGTTCGCAGTAGTTCCGTTAGCCATTATAATTTATAAAAAGGCGTAAAGAAGATCACAAAACAATTCTTAATAGTTTATGGGAACCGATGGCGAAATCATCACGAAGAATATAAACCAAACGTCATTGATTTAGCGGTAAACAGAATAATGCAAAAAGTGATGTTCAACCGCATCAAAAAAGCTCTATAAAAATTACCTACTGCTGTTATTATTTATTAGCCGAAGGAATATCTACTTGGATCTTTTTAAGAAAACTGAATCTACAAAATAATGCACATATGAGGGGTCATTTTACTTCACGCATGTCGTAAAATAGAAAACTAATCGTTTCTTTTAGTAGTTTAAGTTTGATCATAAAATATTGAGAAACTGCCCTCGGACTTAAAATTTTATAAGTAATCCATTACGGACTTCATCTTCGTAAAATTCCTCCTGGCACAGAAACTTAAAGCAGCTATTTATAATTCATATAGAGGCACTGCCTTCTCTGCCATAGAAACTAAAAAAACTATTTTATAATTCATCTTCATAAAATCCCCCCTGGTACAGAAACTAAAGCAGATATTTGATAATTCATTTAGAGGCCGTGCCTTTCCTGTTATAGAAACTAAAACAACTATTTTATAATTCATTTCAGACCGCATCTTCGTAAAATCCCCCTGGTACAGAAACTGAAGTAGCTATTTTATAATTCATTTAAATACCTTGCTTTCCCTGGTATAGATACTAAAACAACTTTTTTATAATTCATTACAGATCGTACATTCGTAAAATTCCCCCCTGGTACAGAAACTAAATCGGCTATTATATAATTCATTTAGAGGTCTTGCCTTTGCTGCTGTAGACACTAAAACAACTATTTTATAATTCGTTACAGACCTAATTTTCGTAAAATCCTCCCTGGTACAGAAACTGAAGCAGCTATTTTATAATTCATTTAAATACTTCGCTTTCCCTGGTATAGATACTAAAACAAACTTTTTTATAATTCATTAAAAACCGTATATTCGTAAAATCCCCCCTGGTACAGAAACTAATGCGGCTATTATATAATTCATTTAGAGGTCTTGCCTTTGCTGCTGTAGACACTAAAACAACTATTTTATAATTTGTTACAGACCTAATCTTCGTAAAATCCCCCCTGGTACAGAAACTAAAGCAACTATCTGATAATTCATTCAGAGGCCTCGCCTTTCCTGCTAAAGAAACGAAACAATTATTTTATTATTTATTACAGACCGCATCTTCGTAAAACCCCCTGGTATAAAAACTAAAGCAGCTATCTGCTAATTCATTTAGAGATTTCGCCGTTCCTGCTATATCGAAATTAAAACAACTATTTTATAGTTTACAGATCTCGCCTTCACAAACTGCCACCAATATAGAACTCAACATATGCAGCTATTTACGATTCCGTATTTACCTTGACTCAATACACCCCGCAGCGTTTCTTCCAGAGCAGCTGATAACTCAAAATCTTCACTGGTTTTACTCAAACTGCTTTTACTTTCTTCTTTAACACTTGCATTACATTCAGGCGAGTTTAAAAGTACGATCATAGCAAAAAGTAAACACACAAAAAGTTCACTTGACATCGTTCGTTCGTACATCTATTTTTTGCTTTAACGATCTTGATTTATGTCTTCTGTATTCTACTAGTTTTGTGGTAACAACTTCTGGAGACCAACTGCCACTTTTGATTTTTAAATGCTCCTTATATACACATGTATTATGAACCTATATAAATATTCTAAGACCAGCTGATGTGTCAAGAGTTTTGAAGATGACACCTGCTTTATCAAAAGCTAAAAAGAAGATTGATTTTTCTTGCTATAACTCCTTGAAGCGCTTTCCTGGTTTTGGGTGCAGAAGATATTGCCCAAAATTATTCACAAATGAAGGGTTAAAAATACGCAGAGGTTACAATTTTTTATCTTCGATTCCTCGTTGTGTTTACACAAAATGTCCGTACGTTTTCCTTGCGGCTTATGTTCCTACACACCCTTTTACACTGAACTTCGCTGAAGTCCCACGTATTGTTTGAACCACTTGTTAGTCCAAATATTGACAAATTCGCGTCTAACACTGTCAAAGGGCACAATAATCCTGCAAAATCCTGGTATATCGGTCACTGTAACACACAATGCCGTCCGCCGATTGCTTTTATTTTCGTCTCGTTGTGTTTTGGTTTATGTTCGTAATTCGATGCCGACTTCCAGCTGACCAATTCAAATCCGTTCCACCGAATGGTCATCATCATAAGAAGTAACGCGAAAGAAAGAATAAATACGACCGAGGGTAACAGGCAACAGCGTCCGGTGCTCCCATTTCACATTTTGATTAAGAAACTCCACTATAGACGACGTTTTACTTCCGCTGAATCCGAGACACCGGTTTTCTTCTGTTATTACTGCTATACGCCGATCGACGTGAAAACTGGAGAACGAGAAGCAGAAGTGAATGGCGAAGAAAGCGAACAGATTGATAACATTTCGAACATGCTCGTCCACGAATTGTTATTAGGTTTTATGCCGGAACAGCTGGGCGTGTGATTGTGTACAAGTGTGTGTGTAACAGAATACAGAACAAACATATAAACACAAACAATATTAAGGTAAGAACTAACAATTTTAAATATTATCTTTGCTACTAAGTACCTACATATAAGTATTTCATTGAAGTCTCATTAATACTATAAATCTATATATATATTAGCCTTAAATATCTAGAATTCCTATTTCTAATTAAACAATCAAGAAAGGTCTTCTAGATCGCGATCACTCTTGTCCCACCAAAATAGGTTCAATCGTTTCGAAGATTAGCCAGAGAGTCACCAAAATTTTTTGAAGGGTATTTTGCATCTTAACAGCATGCAAATAGCAATATGAGCTTAAAAAAGGCAGTTATTTTGATATTAAAAATGTTTATTAACATTACAGTATTTCTGTAAGGGTGGGAAATGTGGATGGTAGGCACGGCAGAGAAGAAAAAGTTAGAAGCGTTTGAAATGTGCTGTTACAGGGGAAGGGTGAGGATACTGTGAATAGAGAAGGTTAAAAATGAGGAGGTAGGAGAAGTTTAGGAGACCAGAACAGAAATAGGTTGGTAGGACACGCCCTCAGGCATGACGAGTTTGTTAGAGACATATATAATTAAAAACAGAAACAGGAGTTAAAAGGAGTAGAGATAGACTTAGATTAGATTACTATTCACAAATAGTTCAAGATGCAGGATGTTTTATCTCATCAGTATAGGAAAGAGCGGAGGTGCGTGTCCAACCAGTGTTAGGATTGACGACCCCACGATGATGATGGTAATTAATATTTAATGTATACCTATCAAACTAAATTTAAACTAATTGCATCAAGTACCTTGCAAAACTTGAAGGATGAGCTAATAAATTAACGATGTGAGCGATTCGGACAGCTGATTATCCCTTCGAGTGGAAGTGAATTGTTACGCCTGTTATTTTTTCAGAAGCAACTTTATTATTATTTTTAATTGTTAACGACAAAAACTGCTTAATTAATCTCTGAGTGACGGCTCGTAATGAAATGAACCAAATGTTCTACGACAAATTAGCTGCATTGAAAACAGCTCCTTGACCTGTTTAAGTTTGCGACTTCATGACAACAAATAGGTGTAAAGCGGACCGGTGCGGGTTTCCAAAGAAGTGCGCAGAACTGCCTTGTGCGGACCAGTTAAATGACAAAACTTCAACTGTGACGCTATCGACTAGGAACCCAGATAATTCGTTTGGGCTAATATTCAACACAACATTATTAAAATTTTGGTAATTAGTTCACACAAATAGATACATATTTTTTTGGCGGTTCTGCAGCTTTGCAGCACCTAAATACATAGGACAAAGTTTTAATAATGTATACAGAGATCAAATATATTTTCAAAGAAAGTTTTCCTTATTATGATGCAGTTCCACAAATTCTATATGTAGGTATGTTGTATGTAAAAGTTTATTTGTATAAGTATCTTTTGTCGACGTACGTATATATATATGAAAAATTTTACAGTTACCTAAACTTTTATAGGCGATGAAGTATTCTTTTCGTAATTCTTTAATTGCGTGAGTTCACAGTTCCGTGAACACAGTAGCGTACGCATGGGAAATGCCCAGAGACTAATAAGATAAGATATATATGTTAAGATATGGGTTTTATAAATGAAAACCTATGAGTCGATTATGAATTTTCCAGCATTGGTGTTGTTTTAAAACAAAATTATAAATTTTTCGTAATGCATAAGAAGCAGTGGTGTAGCTAACGTTAGTTAGTCAGTCTTCGTATTAACATTACATGTTAAATGCTTCTTCATAAAATCAGAATTATGTTTAAATTAGAACTCCGTTAGAAGCCTTTTTTTCACTGCTGTCAATTAATGTTTTTGACTATTAATTAGTGTAAATCTAGAAAAAATATTCTCTGGAAAGACTTCGGAAACCTTAGGAATACAGCTATACAGAAAAAAGTGCTCCTTGAGAAAATGCCCCCTCGAAAGAAAATAATTTCCTGAAGAAGTAAATAAAAAAATAAAAAAGAAAATATCACTAATACAGTCAAAACCGTTTACAACGACATCGTTTAGAACAACATACCGGTTATATTGACCAAAATCATAGGTCCCGGCTGAATTCTATTAGACCGCCATATAAAGAACACTGCTTTTTACGACATACCTCTTTAAGCGACTACATTTAGCAGATATTTTCGAAGAATTATATCTGTTAGAACTATCAGCTGTATTGTAAACATTTTAATTGAAATAACTAAAGTTACAGATTTTAGTAATATATAAAAATGATAATTATACATACATATATATTACGGGAAATAAATAAAATGTAGTTTTATTTTATACATGAATATGTTAAACATAGATTCAATGATAGGTATTAGATACAACCAAATGCGAGCAGTCCCTTCGATGTCGTTATAACAGATTTTGACTGTATTTTAAATTTAACCATCGAAATTTTAAATTACATTTAACTGAATATTTTTGGATAAACATTAGTAAGCCTCTATACCTGATAATAAGCACTTTTTTTGCCTAGCCTCGAACTCTGAACATGAAGTGCGTTCCTGTCTACGAGCGAGGTATACAAAAAAGGAAAGAGCTGACGACTAACTAGTGCCTTCGCATTCCGTGTAATTTAATTTAATTTAATTTTGATGTGTCCGCAGCAAAAAGAAACCATGTAATAATTGTTACATATGTCATTAAATTAACAAATTACAATATCCATTTATTTTTTGCCCCTGCTCAGGTTGTTACTATTTCTTAGAGAGCAACTTCTCCGAGCTCGAGTGCGAAACTTCGAACCTTATTATTAAAGTTAAATTATAGTCACATAGTAATCCACATCAGCTCCGTGTAACTGCACCATATCGCTAAGAACAGCACGTCGTTCGCAGACATAAGGTCCGTATCTAGGCCGGCGATCTTAATACCTGTCCGTGTAGCTTTTACCTTGTTGAACTTTTCAAGTTCTTGACGAGCTTTTGAACAAGCACATTAAAACGTGTTGGTATCTTGTTGATACGGTATTAACGAAGTCAACCTTCAATTTGTGAACAATGTCAATTTTTTGGGGATTCCCAAAATATCAGTAGGTAAATGGTGCATTCAGGTTCAGATTTCGGAAAAGCTTTAGTTGACTATCTACTAGGTATATCAGGTGCTTATGTTATCGATGTATCAATAACTATCAACAACTATCGAAAATATCGATATGTCGATTACTATCAATGAACAGTGTCAATTCTTTGGGACTTTCCCGAAATATCAGTAAGCAAATGGTGCTTTCAAGTTCAGATTTCAGATCAGCTATAGTTGACTCTATCTATCTACTAGGTATAGCAGGTGCTTATGTTGTCGATGTATCCATAACTATCAACAACTATCGAAAATATCGATATGTCGATTACTATCAATGAACAGTGTCAATTCTTTGGGGATTTCCCGAAATATCAGTAAGCAAATGGTGCATTCGAGTTCAGATTTTAGAACAGCTCTAGTTGACCAAATTTATCTACTAGGTATATCAGGTGCTTATGTTGCCGATGAATCAATAACTATTACGATTACTATAAAAAATTATCGATGCACCAATAGTTGACATTATTATCGATATATCGATATTTTTTCCCAAGACTATCCCAGGGTAGAAGACCTAATCTATGTTAGTATATAACCACTCTCGGAGAATCCCAGTATACATGAACCTATTCTTTTTATAAGCCCCTGCAATTATCACAGTGCCTACAGGAGCTGAAGTGTGATTTAATGCGATTTACAAACCACACTAACAGTACCATGCATCCTCAAACTACACTGGTAGATCAGGCATTTAATCTCCATGATGGTTGTACAAAAAACTAACGATAAGTTGGTAAAAACTAAGTTATGTCACGATTGTGCTATAACCATCAAGTGAATGTAGCGGAACCAAAAATGATTTTAAATACTTTCACATGCTCTACCCAAGTTCTCTATCGGAATGATTCTGTGTGATTTGCATAACTGCATTAAAAAATTAACAAATTTCATAACAATTAACTATTTAGGTGTTTCTACCATTTATTTATCTTCGTCAGATAGTATAATTTCGAAGAAAGGTTGATAAGCATACATGTTGTAATCAAAATGATTATTCGTATTACAGAAGCGATTATACAACAATCAAATTTATCTTCGTTTTATTAAATATAAACCAAGTTGAGATATGTCTTCAAAAGGGAGCGCCCAATATATTTAAAAGTTCTATTGCAGATTGAAGTTTAGTGATTTGTTTAAACAAACAGTAGAACAACAGCATTTGACTTTCAAATGTTAGAATAGCTATTTAAAGTAATATCATGAAGAAATCCACTCAGTATCTGGGTCAATCTTGCGGCTTAGGTTGGGTATGTTGTTATGCATTCTGTTTCAACATATACTTATTAATGTATTTAATATGGCAGTTTAACATGTAGGAAAAGAAAGGGATTGTACTACTACTACTGCTACATGCTCTCTTTATTGAGGCAGGCTTTTATAGCCAATAATAAGAGACCTGACTAGGTTAATTGTATAATTATTTACAAAGTTGAAAATTAATTTCTATAAATCATAAGAGAAAGGATTTGCTACATGATAAGAGACAGTTTATAGCTATCGAGTAGAATCCTATATTAAAGTCGTAAAAAATTACGTTTTGGGTCCTCTCATAATTGTTTTTAAAAAATTATTCTATTTATTTAAACAAACACTTCACTTATTTATTGATTAATTTTATTATCCATCTATATTGATTATTATAAATGGTTACAAGTTCCCAAAGGTTCGAGGAGCTTGAACTAGTGATGATTGTAGATAGATAAGTATTTCGTATTTAGCATGTATTGTAATAAATTGTCTAGTATTTGATTATTTATTTATATCAGTGTTAATTTATATTACTCTTTACTTTCCTTGTTTGATCACAATTTATATCAGCTGTATTTTATTAATTGTATCCTGTGGGATAATAAACGCTTATTTATACATTTATACAACAATTAAATGCACCTAGTATGGAACTTTTCATACGTTCAGATTGAACTATTTTATCAGCAAAGCAAACAACCCCTAACCCTCTTTTGTTTTTTGTTAAAATACAGATTATAGTAATCACTCTTGTGAAAACGAAAATATAATTCAATGAATGAAAAAACTTTTACTTTATGTTAATGTACGTATAATGCCGTTTATTAGTGTCATATGGCAAGTTTATTACCAATCGTAGTGAGAGTTTCACTTCTAACGTAGCATTGATGTCTCCAAATGCGAAACTATTTTTTAAATATGTAGTTTCTAATAAACTTTCACTTCTTTTCTTAATAATCATTAAGCGTAAACACATTTTTGTCGATAAATGATGAATGAAAATTGCAGACACTTAAATCTGAATTTAACACGGTAATTTACCAATAGTAATGCAAACAAAAATTAAAAGAGGTATGCATGTATATTAATATTTTAGCACAGTTAAGTGTTTAGGTAGTCAGGTTTTCTAACTCGACTAATGCTCTTTCATCTTCTCCAAAAATCAATATTTGGACTATCTTTAGTATTTTTTTATTATACCAGAGTGGTTGAACTACAAAGTGGTTAGCTTTTAGAATATATATTCAGGGTTGATACTTCTTCTAGCAAATAGTGTGTATTTAATTTTTTATTCATCATATCGTAACTAAAAATACCTATTAAAAATTAATACTGTTCCAATTATGTAACATAGGGGTAGCCAACCCAAATGATCTTACAACTGCTTTGGAAATGACTCAAAACTCCGCGGACACATAAAATTTTATATTTTCATATTAGATTTATTTTTTTGAATTCATAATTGTAAACCCATTAATAAAATAGACAATATTTGTCATATAATTTCAAGAATATTGTTTTAAAATGAAAGTTAATTTCTTCTCATGATGGATGCACAAATGTTTATTATAAATACTTTGGTTTTTTTATTACTTTGGTCTTTACTAAATAAATACATTTCGTAAAACTATAACGAATCTCGCGGGCCGGAAAATATTGAAGGAGTGCCCCTAGCGGCCCGCGGGCGGCGGGTTGACCACCCCGATGTAACTTAATCTAACTTTAACTGCCTACCTAACGTGTTGTTAATTAAATCTACTACATTTCTTAATGGCTAGTTAAGCTTCTTCTTCATTTTTTATGATTTTACTTTCTAGGCATACCTATCTCTTAAAATAAAACAGGTGAATGCGTCAGGTGTTTAAAAGACTTGTCATTAGAAGTCTTGTAGGTTACCTACTAATCAATTATTAAAAAAAATGGAAAAGATGATTAATAAAAAGTAGGTTAACGAAAAAAAAGTTGAATTGTATAGAAACCAGTCCTACCTACACTACTGGCTTGGGAGGTCTCATTTATATGAATTTAGTGCACGTGCTAGAAAGTGAAATTCGTAATAATCAAGCAGAATTCATAAATCAGCGATGGACGAAAGTATACCTGCCCATCAATAAACAAGTTCAGTCAACATGTGGAAAGTATGGTTCAACACAATTACATTCTATTTGGAAGTAATATGAAAGAAATTTGACCTTAATTTAGTGTGAAAGGTCTAAGATAATATAAAATCAAAACTACTATATTCATAATATCACATAATTGTGCCAAAAATATTTCAATAAGATGCATTAAATTTTAAATGTTTTCCACAATTTTATATGCAAACTGCAAAGATAATCCTCGCCTCTATACTTTTTCACAAATTCATGATTAATTACGTAAATTATCGCAATATACCCCATGTAACATCAACAATCTACAGGACATTATTTCTTATCATTTTATTGCAAATAACACACGATTCTATTTTTATCATAGAAGCTTGTTTTGATAATTCAAAAATCGGTTAAAAAGAAATCCTTGACAGATTTTTAGTAATATATATCTATTTGTCGACGTGATTAATCCGAAATGCGTTCCCCAGGTACACACTATTCAAAGGCGTTAATTCCTCTATATAAAGCTAAAAGATTAATTTGTTATGTCGCAAGTTGTCAGTACTTCATAATAGTGGTATTATATCAGCATTCTTCAAGCAAGGTTGCTATCACATGAAGTTGTTGTTGTCGTTATTAAAGCCTGTCTAACGGGAATGGTAAAGTTGACCTATTTTTTTTGGTAAGGTCGTAATATACATACATACGATACACGTATATAAATACGTAATACAGGAGCATATAAAGGACATAGAAAGTTGTTAATTTTCCTGTTCTTTAATGATATCCAATTAAATTTACCTAATTAGTATAAACAACGCATAAAACCAACCAAAGCGTTTATTGTTAGATATGTTAAAAGAGATCAATTCGATTATAAAAAAAATTAATTAAGACGATAATACCGTTGTATAGCAAGACACTGTGTTGTCGTCGATGTTTTTAGGATTTGTGGTAACGACTACGCTTGCGCAAGAAGACGAGTAGATTATTAACTATTTGCAAGCTGTCGTGTGAACTTTACATACGCTTGTTGGAAAGTTCTTCGGTAGAGACAAATACAGAGTTAATAGTCGACATTCTTTCTTGTTGGACACATCTCTAAGATGTTAGAGTAGTGATAACCTAACCTAACAAATTTGATAGTTACCTACTACATATCATTCTAAAAACATCGATGCGGTGATAATTAACTTTGAAGTTACTATAACATAAACGTTGTTTATATAGTCTTCCTGTAAATTCCAATAAAGAGAAAAAACGCTTGTTCTTACGTTTTTATTAACAATAACTTACAATTATACATTTTATTGTTGGGCTCAAAACAATCAACTTTTATTTTCTCTAATAATTTTATTAGGTTCATAAATAACAAAAAAAAAGGAAAATAGACAATAATAATAAATATTGCAACAAACAAATAAATTAATAATTTACATTTACACAACGTGCATGTGTTCAAGTTTATCCTTATTGGTTACTCGGGTAGTATTTCTGGTAAACGACATCAGTATTACCATAGTAACTGGGTAAAGTAGGACCAGTTGTGTGTAACTGAGGTGTTTCCATGGTGTCTTTCCTGTCCCAGTGGACATGAGCTGGGATAGGAGCCACTGGCGGAGCAGCAGCATAAACTGCCGGGGCGAATGGTACCCTTCTTGCTTCCTGGAGACGCGCTAGCACTGCACTCATTCCAACTACCAGCAGCAGGAATCCAATTATACCATTGTTGGCGGCTAGTAGGGTAACTAGTACCAAAAGGGCGAAACCAATACCAAGCTTGAAGAATATGACCGGAATAAGGACCATGAAACGTTTCACTACGTGATGGACAAAAGTACGACCTAAAAAAATAACGATACAGATATATTACAAAGAAGTTCGGCTCTAGGAATTCAGTTTGTGATAATTGAGAGTCAAATTTAATCAACTTATGAATTAAGCTTAATTTACATAAGTTAACGTTGACTTTTTGAAGTGAAACTTCTTTACGCACGGTGGGGTAAGTTCGTTTCATGCGAGTTGCTATGTAACGAAATCATGCAACGCATTTCGCCCGCTGTCAGTCCCTATGTATGCTTAGATCTTTAAAACTACGCAACGGATTTTAATGCGGTTTTTTTAAATAGATAGAATAATTCAAGAGGAAGGTTTATATGTATAATACATGCATAATATAGTAGAGAAACACTGATAATTTTAGAGGTTTGTAATGTGATGTCGTAAATAAACACATTTTTTTGCGCTTACATTGCAAACGCTGGCTGAACCCTATGAGATAGATCAAAATAATATACTACAGTATTGTACACCTTAAAAAGGTCTACAAAAAAGTCCGGGATGGTATATGTCTATCTCTTAGGGATAACCGACAATAACCATCTTTTATCCTTTACTTTTTAAGAGAAATGATGGCTTATTTACTAAGCGATTTTAAGCAATACAGCATTAATCCTTATCCAATTAACTACTTTTAAATACATTGTGCATTTAATATAGATCAATATGGCCCTTTACAGCATGTAATTTAAATGAATATTTTCGAAGATATTACAGACTTAAAATGCAGGGACATAGCGGTTGCGGCGGTACCGGCCGGTTTGTATCGTCTAATGACAAAAAAGCTGTGATTGTTGTATATAAAGACATTTTATGGTCTATTTACTATCAACATTGCACCCGTACGAAGCATAGTGTACAAATAATACCATTAAACCAATTCCTTAACCCCTATCCCGGTATGTTTGTGTATTTGAAGAAGTTTCACTTCAGTAGCGTGTTGTATAATTACATGTTGTATTTTTTACAGGCATTTTTAAACTTAAGAATAATTATTCTATTGAAAGCATTTAGTACGAGAAATTTACACAAAAAACAATATCCCAGAAGATAGGTACTCGACGGAAACTGGACTACATAACGTAAACGTTTTTCCTTGTCAGAATTCAGCAACCTTGTGCCTAGCAAGTATCAATAATTGACCTTCAAATTGTATAAAATAGAATGGTATGCACTGCATGGTAATGGTATTTTATTTGTGTTCGATACATAAATATGTATAATGTATGTTTCGAATGTCTGAAATAATTTATTTTTTTTCTTAACGAAAACGAAAGGTGTCTATTTTTGGAACATTAACTGAGGCAATTATTTTAATATCAAATCCGCGTTGCTTGAGAAAAATGTCTCTGATGAAGGACAAAACTAACGATGAATGGAATGCGATTTCAGGCATGCTCACATAGGTAAAAAAATTTATTCAAGATACAAGTTCGCCTTTACGTTAATGGACATAGCTATATGTCTTCATTAATTTGTTAACCTTTTCTGGTCATAAATAGTTCCTGAATCTACTGGCTATTGTGTAAACTACTTAAACCAATTTTAATATTTTCTATAGAAATGATAAAGGAAAATCGCCCAAGTTTGGGTAGTTTATCATCAACATCATCATCTTAAGGTCCTCAGTCCTTAGACTGGTTGGGCACGCACCTCCACCCTTTCCTATATTGAGCTAATCTTCGCACTTCCCTAAAACTAGAATATCCCACATCCTTAACTGTTTGGAAACGGCAATCTAATCTAGGTCTACCTCTACCCCTCCTAACTCCTACCTACCAACCTATCTCGTCTATTTCTTATTGACTTCCCTAGAGTCCTCTGCTCTCCTATTCTTTGTGTCCACACCTCTTCATTTCTAACCTTCTGTATCCACGGTATCCTCATCATTCGCCTGTAACACCAAATTTCGAACGCTTCTAACCTTTTCTTTTCCGCCACGCCCACCGCCCATGTTTCGCACCCGTACAGCGCCGCATTCCAAACATACACCTATAACAATCTTCTTCTAATTTCTAAATTAACCGTTCGCGAGCATAGAAGTAACTTCTTTTTATTGAAGGCGACTCGACCTTGTGTAGTTTAATTAAATATTAATTCGACTTTAAAGGAGCGAATTCCACTAAGAGATAAAATACTTTTGAGTCGAAAAACGAAAAGAGAATCAACGTTAACAAACGTATTTCTTCAGAAAAATATTAACAATCACGAATAATCGTCTTTTGTCTATTAAACAATAATAGATAAGTATTATTGCCATTAAATATTGTCTTCGTCAGTTGTTGTTTTTCGTACAAACTTAAAAGGACAGTTTAATGAGTAATAAATAAAAGCAGTATCGGAGGTTCGTCTATACAACAAAGCCTTGCTGACCAGTAAGTAGAAAGACGTTAAAATTTTTCTTGGTTTGTTAATTTTTCTTGTCGAAACCGTTACTACATTAAACAAAAGTCTCATAAAATCGCCATAAAACACCGCGCGGTCAGCAAGCTATGAACTGTCGCCGATAATTTGATTTTAATGGTGCATGGATACCTATAACTATTGCGGTATTGACTTTAAATTTATTACTCTTGAGCTTTCACCGACATGTCATTATAAGCAGCTTTGATCCATATCAGCGTTTGAAAGACTAAAAAATGTATTATATTTTATTTATTAAAGCCGCTTATTTGTTTTTTAAATCTACTTCAAAAAGTATTGACCGATATGCATTTACCTCCGCCAAGAAGAAGGTCGAAATTCCGAAACGTATTTATTGAAGTAAAATTAACGCTTAAAAGATAGAGAAGACATCAGTAAGACTAACTGATAACCCACCCAACTAATGAAAGTTTAATGTGCAAAATACGAAGTTGTACAACGATCGCAACAATATGTACAATGGACAAACAGGCAGACTCCTTAATAAAAGATTCTGTTAACTTCAATTATACAGAAGGGACTCTAAGAATGTAAAACTATTGTATAAATAATAGATAAATCGATAAATCTAAAGAATTTATCGAAAGTATGAAGGTACAAATGTAATTTAGAAAATAACCCAATAGGATTCTCAAACTCTGTTTACTGTTTTATTCTCTTCAATAAATATAATTTGTTATACATAATATGTCTTTTTGTATTATTGATTATGTAGTTTCAACAAGTATTTTTTAGAAAACTAGAACATCAAGACAATTGTATGTACAAAAATATAAGGTTACTATAATTTTAGTATTTACTGCAAAATACGTTTATGATTAAATGGTCCTTTTTTACCTAATACAATAAATTGTAGTTAGTAATCCTATAATCGTCTTTTAGCATTTGATTTTGACGGGGCTTTTCGTAAGTAATAATATGCAATTAAGAAGTTATTTTCCCAAATTAGTTTCAACCTCTTTTAGGGCCGCAATCAGTGTAGACAGTGGTGTATAAGTGCATTACTTTTAATAAGCTGTCAGAACCATTAACAGACAAAGTTGTTGTGAAAGTGTCATGTTCTTAAATACGTTCAATGCGACAGCTATAGCACCACATTAAGCGCGAGATTGTCGGAGCTTTTTTTCATTCCTATTTTAATCAGATCATGCTTCAGACCTGACGGCTCAGAACGCTCTTGTAATGTAATGTAACGTACCTGCATGCTACGTACTAATGTATGATTAAAGTTTAACCGACTAGGTACCTACAACTTCAGAATCAAGGTAAATATCATTGGCGCACACACAAAAATTCCATTCGACTTCGGCTGCTGGCTGTTTCTTTCTTGTGTGTATTTATGTTCAAGTACAAACAGGACATTGCAATGCAAAGTAGAGAAATAAAAATTGTTGAAAATGTCGCTCAGAGCAGTCCTGAATCCGGCTCGAATTCATACAAGACAGAGACGTACCTAGCTAAAGGCCACTTTCTTGGTTTTACCGTCTCGGTCCAGTATGTTTATGAGAAACAAACTCAAGATTTAAAAAACCTTCCGGTTATTCCCCGCTAATACTGTTTCCCAATTTTCCCGATTCCCCAGTCTCTACGTATACATTATAGGCTAATTAACAACTAAACAAAAGAATATTTTATTACATCATCATCATAAGGTCGTCAGTCCTAACACTGGTTGGACACGTACCTCCACTCTTTCCTATCCTGAGCTAAACTTCGCATTTCCCTAAAACTAGAACANCTAATTTTCCACCCTTGGAGGTAAAATATTTTTTTTAAATTTAAATGAGACTACTTTTGAGATATGACTTAAGCCCAATAAAAAGAGAATCCTTAAAATCCGTAAAGTATGTAGTTAATATCGGGAACTACTTATCCGATTTCAAAAATTCTTCCACCAATATTTAGAACAGACTTTCAGGGTCCAAATGGGGTGTACATTATTCTGTTAAATAAAAAGGCTTTTCGTGGAGACATATTTTGTGATATAAGTCTACGAAAAAACTATCGAAAGAATGCATTTGTTACGAACGCTGCCTTGGCAGTAAGAGATACATATACAAATACTTTCTATACATAGAAAAAGTTGTAGAATTAAAAGAAAAACTATAATAAAGTCCGCGGCGACGTATATCTGTATGTAAAGGTTAATTTACAAATTGATAACATACTTACAGCTCTTATAATAGTTGCAAACTGAATTCCAAGCGCAAGAAAGTTATTAACAAAACGATGTGATATTAAAGATTGCAACGACAACACGTGTATACTTAATTGATTCAAATAGCTTTTGATTTTATGATTTTATTTTATTTTTTTAAAACTGCCACAAATATAAATTAAGCATCAATGATATTGATCCATTTCAACCCTGCCCGCGAACCCTTGTATCCCAACTTGAGTCTCGATCATGTAATTTTAGTTCTCTATATTCTCAAGTAAATCTGGCTACGAATTTTCTATACAAACTCTGTCACCCCTTTTACCCCCTTTGCGATTAAATTCCCTTCTTTATTCCTTATATATATCATAAAGGAATTTCAGCTATCTATCGAACGATTTAGTCTGGGCATTGAGTTAGGACTTTTCTTTTTAAATATATAAACTGTTGATCTATCTGATCCATCTAAAAACACATCAGAATTGATGTTCGTCCTAGTTTCGTAAAAATGTACCACCGAAACTGATTCAATTCTAAAGCCGGATCTGGTTTTTGTGGTAATATAAACAACCTGCCTTGATCATATATTCCGTAGGAATCTATGTGTGTACCTGCCTACAATTTTAGAATGACTTATCTAGTGAGCATTGCATAACTAACTAGACAGTTTATATGCACATATAATGCCTAGAATACACAACTGTACAACGACAACTGTCATTGTTTATTTCGAATTTATGTAAACCGCTTGCGATTAACAGAAATTTGATAAGTCTACTGGCCTTAAAAAAAAGCATTTACGCCCAGAAAACAACAGCGAGAAAACTGGTGTAGAAGTAAACTCTTGAACACTTCATCTTTCCACTTCAGTAATAAAATTTATAATTCTAAAAAAAAAATAAAAAAGGACATAAATTAATTTCTTAAAGTTTCAATTAGTTCAAGAATTTAAATTGATTCATCATCATCATTATAGGGTCATCAGTCCTAAAATTGGTTGGGACACGTACCTCCACTGTTTCCTATCCTTAAATGTAAAATATTCCTCATTCTCAACTATTTTTGAACAGTAATCTAATCTAGTTTTCCCCAACTCTTTCGAACTTCGATTTCTGCCACTAATATATCTCTGACTATGTCTGAGAAGCTATACTACCAACCTATCTTGCCTATTTCTTATTGATTTCCATAAAGTCCTCTGTTCTCCTATTCTTTCTAATATCTCTTCATTTTTAACCTTCTCTATCCACGGTATTCTCATCATTCGCTTGTAACACCACACTTCAAACGCTTCTAACCTTTTCTTTCCGCCGTGTCCACCCTTCATGATTCGCACTCGTACAGCGTCGCGCTCCAAACATACACCTTTANAAATTTGTTATAATTAATTGTTATTAACATTAGCTACTGTATTTCTCCTAACAACTCATTTTCATACATTGTAGTTGCAATATAAGCAAAGGAATTCAATTTGGGGCACCTAATCGTTATTTTTGAAAATACTGCTTGCACAGTTGAATAGTCCTTAAATGGCAGAAAAATTTTTGTCTGAAAAGTTTTTGCGTAAAGCCTTTAATTTACGAATTATAGCAACAAATAAGCGAGAGACTTCAACGTTAGATCAAGAGAACAAGCGACGAACCCGATATCTACGTAAAATTGTGCGTTTTGGTTTTAACAAACTAAAGTCACTAGTGTTCGCAACTATAAAGAAAATGGGATTCAATATACTTTTTAACATTCACCATCGATTTAATGTTTAATAAAAAGTACCCTAATGGTTTATTTACATACATATCTATTCCATAAAAAAATAAAGTTTGGTCAGAGGGTCGTGTGGTCATCTCTATTTATTAAAAAGATAAAGAACTTTATTAAAAGGCCAGAAAAGCAACAATAAAAGCGTTGAAATAGTAATAAATTAATAATTGTTACATTTATAAGCTCTGCAGTTATGAGTATAGGTTAACAATCTGACAAAAATATTGTATATAGAACTGATGTACATTTTTATATATGTTTATGGTGGTTTACTTAAATAATACCAATGCATATTTGTATATAATATAATTTACATCGTTATCGTAATCTGAAGAATAATCCTTATCTTCGACTTTAACTTTGCCTGTCAACTGTAACCTTTGTCTAATCTTTCAGGTCTTAGCCTTAGACTTATAACTCTGGTTTTGCATGTTCAATTTCGATAATTAATTAAAAATAATACGATGATTGGGGTGAACACAGCTCACTCCCAAATTGTTATTATCTTTCTAAATTAACCAATCCTGGAAGCGTTTTGACCTTGTGCTACATTAAAGAAAATATAAAAAGGAAATTTTTTGGAACACATAACTTTTAGTGATTTTTGCAATGATATTGATCCATTTCAACCCTGCCCGTCAACCCTTGTGTCCCAACTTACGTCTCGATCATGTAATTTTCGTTCTCTATATATACCCCTTGTTGCTAGCGACCTGCTCCTTGTATAGAAATGTAACTCCCTCTGGTGTCTATACATGTACCTAACCGTAAAATTTGTCTATTGTGGATGATGTTGAAATTTTAAGTCTAGATTTTAAACCATAACGATAAGAGCAATATTAACTGCAGTGTATTTAATATTTTTAGCAGCGGCTTGGGTTCATTGGGCTTTCCTATTCTCTGCAAAAGGCACTTTCATCGTTAAAAAAGTTAAACAATTTCAAGCAAGCTAAATTTGGCTGTTCACTGTACAAGTTAATAGCTTTAAACGCCGATGAGTTGGTGAATCTGTTTTTTCCAATAATTGTTTAAAAAGTGGAACCTTACATCACTTGATCGGGTTATTGACTTCTCTAACATGTAAGAATAACGCCAGTCTTTTTGTTTCATCGACTCATAGAGACAGAATGAACAGACTGTTTTACAAGCACTTCTTCTTGTTTAAATACTCAACTAACAACTAATCCATTAATGTCAGTCATTACAATAAATTTTTTCGACGGCTACATACCTTTTTCGAGAATAGAAACTATGCAAATTACAATGTCTTACAATTTTAGACTTGTCGGCAGTTTTTTATCTTTTAAAATCTGTTTTACTTTTTCAATTGTCTATAGATTAGGATAAGAATCTGAAAAATTTGTACCACTAATAATTCGTAACCCCCATGGTAAAATTATTATAGCTTATGAATGATATTCACTCAATTTTTGTTTATTAACCGTTTAATCAATTTTTATAAGAATACTAACTTTTAAAATCCGTCTGCCCGTATTTACAAATTTAAACTAAAAAGTCAAAAGGATACAACCGAAAATAATTTCTCCAACTGTTTTTTTTAATATCTTCTAATTTTCCACCCTTGGAGGTAAAATATTTTTTTTAAATTTAAATGAGACTACTTTTGAGATATGACTTAAGCCCAATAAAAAGAGAATCCTTAAAATCCGTAAAGTATGTAGTTAATATCGGGAACTACTTATCCGATTTCAAAAATTCTTCCACCAATATTTAGAACAGACTTTCAGGGTCCAAATGGGGTGTACATTATTCTGTTAAATAAAAAGGCTTTTCGTGGAGACATATTTTGTGATATAAGTCTACGAAAAAACTATCGAAAGAATGCATTTGTTACGAACGCTGCCTTGGCAGTAAGAGATACATATACAAATACTTTCTATACATAGAAAAAGTTGTAGAATTAAAAGAAAAACTATAATAAAGTCCGCGGCGACGTATATCTGTATGTAAAGGTTAATTTACAAATTGATAACATACTTACAGCTCTTATAATAGTTGCAAACTGAATTCCAAGCGCAAGAAAGTTATTAACAAAACGATGTGATATTAAAGATTGCAACGACAACACGTGTATACTTAATTGATTCAAATAGCTTTTGATTTTATGATTTTATTTTATTTTTTTAAAACTGCCACAAATATAAATTAAGCATATAGAAGCCAAGTTATAAGTTACAGTCTGTAGTATATTCTAAGCGCATTTTTACTTACAATAAGATTTACATAAAACGGTTAATTAATATCTGGAGATGCCAATTTAAATCTTGTTTTCGTCAAACTTTTTTTACATGAGGAGGCACATTGATAAGCGTGAACAAATAATTTCAATAAAAGTTAAGCGATGACACAAAATCAATTCCTTTGATAAATCAAGAGTGACACAAAGGATAATCTTGTTGTTCACAAAATCGCCTTTGCAATTTGCTTTCATTAACTTTTTCACGTGGGCATCTTTTTTTGCATAATCTTTTTTAATTAAAGAATCCGACCTGTAATGGAATTTGTCTTTACGACACGACATTAACCTTTTTCTACCTGCAATTAATTAATTCGCTGACATTTATAGATATTTTACTCAAGCCGATAAAGATCTGCATGATTATAGCGAACTGGTTGAAGTATCTTAAGCCCAAAAGAAATTCCATTATTACATTACAAAAGGACTAAAAGATTAATAAAACTCAACTAGTTTCTTTTGTAATTTATATTAATTAACTAAGTAATTATGAAACATTCTATTTAGGACAATTTTAAGTAATGTGTAATTTTGTCCTTTTCATAAATTAAATGTTTGCAGTGTGTATTCTTAACCCTTGGTTATAGAAATATGAAATTTGAAATAAAAATTTCTTATATACAATATGGAGATCCACCTGGGAAGGGTCATTCACAATTCAACCCCTAAAGGGGTGAAATTAGAGACAGACTATGTATAGAAATGTAGCAAAATAATATGGCAAAAATATAACAAAATTGAGATATTATTTTCACCAAACCTACAGTGAAACTTTATCTTATGTATATTACACCTAATAACTTTACTTTCTGACCTTATTTCTTTTTGGTCAATAAATTAACTGTGTTGGTTAATTGATAATGCTTGCGGTTATTGCTTGTATAAATAAATAAATAAATAAATAAATAAATAACTAAGTAATCTTACCTTGTTCAACGAGTTGTCTCCCAACGGTTTCCACATTAAGTAAATTTTCTTTGACGTTCTCACCATCTTCACATGCAACGAAAGAGACAAAATAAACGAAAAGAAATAAAACAGGAACTACGTGAAGTCGAAGACCCATTCTTCCAGGTCCTTTACACACCTGTACCGTCAATACAAAGACTAAACCACGAGGCTGTTTAACCAATTTATTAGCTAAATGTAACACATGAATGTCAAGGACCAATTGTCTTCCTGTCTAGAAAATATTGTCGCTGAAGAAAACAATGCAGGACAAATTTGAATTTGGAACACGTTTACTAATGTAGACATGCACCAACATTGTCTGTCACAGATAACTTTTTTGGCTTTGGACTCGTACAGGCGAATGCAAAAGTTGTGGTCAGATAAAAACCACATTACTAGATTCAAAAGTCATTGATAGAAATCAATTATTGTAAAATTGTATTTCAAAAAAATAACCACGTCACGACAAGCAGTTGGATGTCTCTAACTCATACTTCTATTAGTTTTTTACTCCAAATTCTTTTATTTTTTATATATATTGTTTTACATATATTTCAGACTACATTAAGTCAAATTTCTCCATTTCTCTAACTGGATTTTTTCTTAAGACTCGAGTGAGAGCTTTACATTATAAATTGCCTCTTTAATTTTAATTTCAATAGTACTAATTTTCTTCGAAAATAATTTAACACCACAAACATTTTTTAATTTTATAAATTTGACAAATACCGCTATCCTGAAAACATCGACCATTCACTAACCAAACAATGACAATTCAAAATCGTCAATTGGAATACTCTACGTGTACATATGTTGCAAAATAATATGATAAAAAGGTAATAAAATCAAAATGTTCTACTGTTTATTATTAATTAATCTACCATACCTTAATCTAACTTAAACCCTTATTCAATGAGTGAATTCCGAGTTTAAGCCCACTCATTTTATTGCAATTGTTTAGTTCCACCTCAAACACGTCAAAATTAGCGATTCTTAATTAATTACTAATTAATCGATAGTATTGTATTATTAGAGGAGACAGCCGCACCGATTATGTTTACAAGGTTAGAAAGCCCTTTTATGGCTAAACGTCTGTAAAAAAACTGCAATCAACTTAAAGCCATTATGAAAACATTTACCTACAAATAAGAAGTTCTTATCAAAATGCCCGTCGTGTTTTATTACACAAAGAAGACTGCGAAGATGTAAAAACTTTTTCAGGAGGTAAACAACATATGATATTCTGCGTACACCTGCGATGGACAATTAAATAACTATAAAATTCGAATCGTTCGTGTTTTTTTTCCTGTTTTTACTTTTATATAAAGGAAATTTACATAAAAACGGGCGGTGGGGTTGAAAACATTCGTAAAGATGTCCAGTTGCAGTTTTTACATTTCTGTTGCTAACCGTGAGGGAGTGTCTTTATCCAGAAATTCTTGTTTTTGTATTTTAAATGCCGCTATGCAGAACACGAAAGTGCATTATTCGACTTGTTTGATTTTCTTTTTTTTTGCAAAATTGTAATCTAGACATCCAAAACAGGATCTTGGAACCGGTTTGGCTCTTTGCCTTCTCGAGGATCAGAGAGAGCATGACTGATACTGATAGGTATTTTCGAAGAGGCTAAAGATCGCATATAATACGAAAAAAAAACATCCAATTACCATCATTCACCGCGATCAGCTACGGATTTAGACTTACACGCGCGAGGGCGTCAAAATTTGAAAATTTAATGACTTTTCCATAAATTTTCCTCATTTTGTCTTAGTTTTCATTCACAATTTTACGTCAAAGGAGCTCATGTTGCTTTCTTCCATAAGTTTGACAGTTCTTTTAGTTTCAACTACTATAGTTTGTTTTAATAAAATTTGTTATTGTTGTATTTGATTCCTTTACAATTATTGATAACAGTTGATAGCGTTAAATCGGAACAGACGTGGGATGATGATCACTTTCGTACGTGGAAGAATTTTCAAGTATTTCTACGATTGCATGACCGACACCTGTTAATTTAAATCATTGACACCCTTTAATTAATTCCTAATAATACACTGTTCATAAATATTAATTAAGTCCACGCCGTTAGTCGTAGGTAGAAGCTGTTGCATTTGCAATACTTAATTTTTACTGACATGACGCATCCGTAAACCTACTTAAAGATTTATGCAACACTTGCCAATGTTTCTTAATCTCTTACCATAAACGAGAGTTCTTACTTCGTGTAGAATCTTTTTCGATTTAAAGATCCAGTATTCGAAATTAAAAAAATGTTACCTATTATTCGTCCCTTATGCAGTAATTACCCTGACCGAAGAATTAAACCTAACCTAACCTATCTTAGCCTATTAAATAGGTGACGTTGCAACTTTTTTTAACACAAAAAGTAATATAAAACATCACGGAAAAACAACAACAAGGAAAAGGGTTCTAATTCGTAAATAAATATTCACTTCAATTATTTGTAATTATAAAAATTAGACAAAGAATCTTGTTTGAAGAATGTTTGCATTGTGTCATAGATTATAATCATTCAATTAAATTAAATAGTAAAGTACAACATCTTTGTACGTCTACATATATATTGTAACTAATTGTTATTAGCACTAGCCACTGTATTTCCCGTAGGCAAATCAAGTAATTGACTTAAACATTAAAAAATTATAAGCAATTATTATTATTAACAACCTGCCACTTAATTACCCAAACCTTTTTTTCTAATAATTATTATTTTTTCTTACTGTTTCTTCGTTAAATAGTCGTTAGAAGTCTTAGCAGAAAACATACATTAAATAATAACACATTTCGATACTTCGTAACAAGAACATGCCAGCAAAATAATACAATTTGACTTGCCTAATCGTTATTTTTGAAAATACTACTTGCACAGTTGAATAGTTCTTAAATGGTAGGAAATTTCTTGTCTGAAAAGTTTTTCTGTAAAGCTTTTAGTTTGCGAATTATAGCAACAAATAAGCGAGAGACTTCAACGTTAGATCAAGCGACGAACCCGACACGTAAAATTGTGCGTTTCGATTTTAACGAACTAAAATCAGTGTTTTGGAACTGTAGGCGTCCTAAACTATAAAAAATAACATTCGCCTTCAATTTAGTGTTTAATAAAAAGTATCGGAATTTTTTTTATTGAAGCGCCTATTCTATAAAAGAAGAAAGCTTTTACTAGGCATCTTAACTCATTATTTTTCCAGATGGTTAACATTGAATTAAGAACCGCTTGGCTAGCTCACAATTAAGGAAAATTAATTAAGTCAGGTTAAGTAACTGACAATTGTTTGTGTCCGTTCAATGATTTATTAATTCAATCAATCATACTTGATTGTCCTTATAAGGGATCGCTTTTTGTTCTCGATCCACATCAGTCGAAAATTACAATGGTGCATTATTTGTGACATTTAATTTGTCGCCGACTGTAGACGATCGTGAAGGAAATCCTCATGTGGGACACTTCGATTTTTACGGCTCAATCGATTTTTGAACACGAACGGCAACATTAAAAGCCGCCACGAAAACGGTGTCTTTAACGAAGAAAATGACCCGAATAGATTTCTAATCGTAATTGATTATCTACGCGGCTATGAATAATAAATAGTCAATGGTACCGACTGTTCCGATTCATTCACTCACGCACAAATTAGTCATGAAGACCATAGTACTCTGTTTCCATTTTAAGCAAATAATGAACAAACTATTATTAACTGTACTTTTTTATTGGAAAAAGCTAAAAATTAAGACATAACTTAACGGTATGTCGTAAATTTAGCAGTCGGTTCGTACGGGAAAAAGGCATCTACAACTAGAGTACCTACTTTGTCTAATCTTTCAGGTCTTAGCCTTAGAATTGTAACTCTGGTCTTACATGTTCAATTTCGATTTTAATTTGACCTATCAAATGCACGTCTCTTGTCTGTCAAATTCTGACCATTATCTCAGCATTTTAGCTCTTAGTCTTAGTTATATTAATCAAATATTTGTCACAGTTCCATATGTTAAGCCTTCGTGTTGTCTTTTGCCTGTCAAATAATTCTCTTGTTCATATATTGCATATGAATCTTTACTATTATTCTTATCCGTGAAGCTATCTCTGCATCATCAGTTATGCTTTAATCCTTATCTTCGACTTTAACTTTGCCTGTCAACTGTAACCTTTGTCTAATCTTTCAGGTCTTAGCCTTAGACTTATAACTCTAGTTTTGCATGTTCAATTTCGATTTTAATTTCACCTATCGAATCTTCACCTATCCACGTCTTGTCTGTCAAATTCTGACCATTATCGCAGCGTTTTAGCTCTTAGTCTTAGTTATATTAATCAAATATTTGTCACAGTTCCATATGTTAAGCCTTCGTCTTGTCTTTTGCCTATCAAATAATTCTCTTGTTCATATATTGCATATGAAACTTTACTATTATTCTTATCCGTGAAGCTATCTCTGCATCATCAGTTATGCTTTAATCCTTATCTTCGACTTTAACTTTGCCTGTAAAACTGTAGCCTTTGTCTAATCTTTCAGCTCCTAGCCTTAGACTTATAATAACTCTGGTCTTGTATGTTTAATTGCGATTTTAATTTGACCTATAAAATCGTCACCTATGTATGTCTTGTCTGTCAAATTATGGCCATTATCTCAGCGTTTTAGCTCTTAGTCTTAGTTATATTAATCAAATATTTGTCAAAGTTCGATATGTTAAGCCTTCGTCTTGTCTTTTGCCTGCCAAATAATTCTCTTGTATATATAGTGCATATCAAACGTTACTATTATTCTTATCCGTGAAGCTATCTCTGCTTTAATCCTTATCTTCGCCTTTAACTTTGCCTGTCAACTCTAACCTTTGTCTAATCTTTCAATTCTTAACCTTAGACTTACAACTCTGGTTTTGCATGTTCAATTTCGATTTTAATTTGCCTTGCCTTGCCTGTCAAATTCTGACCTTTGTCTTAGGTTTTCAGTTCTTGGCCTTAATTATACCAATCAACCATTTTTACAGGTTCATTTGTCAAGTGTTCGTCTTATCTTTTATCTGCCAAATATTTCTTTTGATTTCTATATACACTCTTGACCATGGCCTTGTATGTTAAATTTTACTGAAGATTTATATCGGCGAAGCCCTTATCTCTGCATCATCAGTTATGCTTTAATCCTTATCTTCGACTTTAACTTTGCCTGACAACTCTAACCTTTGTCTAATCTTTCAGTTCTTAACCTTAGACTTACAACTCTGGTTTTGCATGTTCAATTTCGATTTTAATTTGACTTGCCTTGTCTGTCAAATTCTGACCTTTGT